TAAAATCCTTGATGCAGCTTGCCAAATGCTTGTTAGGAGGGCAAATTTTCAATTCTTTTCTCATCGATAAGATTTCTAAATTGTCTATCATCATCTCTTAAAGCCTTAATCTAAGAAATATCAAGCCACACTAGAATGTCTATTGAAGTGCATACTCAAATAGTCAGTCAAACAATTTAAGAACATGTACCAAATACAATGCAATTTGTTATATTAGACATATGACATCATTCAGCTATAAGATGTTTATCCAAAATGAAATAATTATCTAAAAGCCAAGCTTTCTATCTAAGTCAATACATTGAAATCCTAACATCTGCCATTAAACACATAATTGTTATGAACTTCTTTAGAGCTCGATGTAATATATACTACAAAAAAGAGTCATATATAGTCTCAACATTGAATCCCAACAAATAGAAAAAGGAATTTGACATTAAACCATATACCAACAAAAAAGGAATTTAACATTAAACCATATACCAACAAAATTTGTGCTTGCATACATGCATGTGTAGCAAAGACAGAATTAAAAGAACAAGCAATGAGAAAACACATTTATTAGCATGGATATGAGAATCTTCCTTATGCATTTTAGCAAGCACTATCTCTGTATAATATTGAATTACTATCTTCACAAAGGGAAAAGGAATTGATAGCATGAAATAAAAAGAAAATCAAAATTGTGTATAACGTGAACAATACAAAAATCAACTAGTGTGATAAGAATTAAAATATAGCCAGGAGATTGAAGTGTTGAGCCACTAACTATGTGAAGAAATTCTTGAGCCATGGAATCAACTGCTACATTTTTACATTTGAGTGATCTTTTGGCAAGAATGTTAGATTGAACTTCAACCATTGCTGAGATATAGAAAGAATTTCCATAAAAAGAAACAAGTGAGGATATCAGCATAATTTCCCTCATAATTACTAATTCCATGTAAATGGGTGATATGAAGATCCCACAAGCAAGGAATTAAAAAAAAGCAAGAAGAAGCACGGCTTTATTATCGAAGTTTAGCTTATTCATAATAAAAAAAATTGTATTTCATCCAAGAAAAAAATTGCAATAATCTCGAAAGAGGAAAACTTTTAGAATAAATCAGTATAAGCACTCAAAACACACATACCAAGAAATAAACTCAAAGGACATAAAAATAGAAAATTGAACAAAATAAAACATAAAACACAGGAGTGTAAATCAGATCTATGACTCAAAAGAACAAAATGAGTGCAAGTCAAAGATAAGATGTCTCAATCCAAAGAGATCTGATAAAAGAAGGACACGATGATGAAGCAAATAGTAATAGACAGAGGAATACTTGTTTGCAACCAAATAAGTTGAGGGAGAGATAAGAATTACCACTCACAATCCTAAAATAATGAAGGGCAATTCAACAAGTTTTGGCTATGAGGATTAAAGCATGGAGTTTAAGAAGCCGAAATCACATAATCACAAATTTAAAAAAAGGTAGTAATTACCATAATGAAAGAAAGACAAGAAAGAATTGGAAGAATGTACTGATTGGTGTTGTGGTTAAGCCTTGAAAGATTTTGAAGGGGTAAAAGGGGTAAAGGATTTGAGTTAGGTAAAGACCTGAGAGAAGTAGAAGATATGAAAGAATGACGAGACAGAGATAGCAGTCAGAGGAAAGGAAAGTATTGTAAAGCCATCCCCAGATTGTTCCACTTTCCAATCATCCTCAACCTCATCTAACCAAGTCTTGTTGATTGCTCCTTCATAAAGAGGGGCATTTTGGTCATTTCATGAGAAGCTTTTCTTAATATTATAATGCATTTGGTCCTTGAATTCCTCTTGTTCCCTCACAACAACATCCCTTCCAATGAGGGATTTTTTTAACAATTTTCCCAAAATTATTTCCAACACAAAATTTAAAAGTTACTAAGCTTATTCCCAATAAACAATAAATGCTACATAATTCCACCTGTAAATTTATACGGTTAAATAGTGATATAATATAGCATTCAGCTTAAAAATGTATAGTATTTTATTGATAAATACTTATAATTTGATTGGTAATTAAATTTATCCTATGTAAGTGATAAATTCAAAATTCATAAAAATAAATAACTTCTAAATCTATTTTTAAAAATAATTTTTCTATATTATATATTTCCCTCATTTAGAGTTTTATTATGACCCACTATGTGTGTGGGAGAAAAGGAATAATGAAGGGAGTAAGAGGCTAATAATGGTGAAAATAGGTAAAATGCCAACCAAACAATGTATGGCTTGGTTTGTTTTAAGCCTAGCCTATTTTATAGAGCTGGCTTAAGCTTAACTACAGGTATCTTTTTTCATTTTTGTTTACCTACTAGAAAGCTTGCATACTTTACTTAATTTTTTAATATAATTTTATTTCATATATATTAATTTTAATATTATTTAACACAAGTTTATTTTAAAATTGTAAGTTGGAAAATGAATTTGATGCCCTTAAGGTCTTAGGTTTAGGTTTTCTCCTCTTCACTCTTCGCCCTCTTCCGATCTCACTCTCACAAATCAAAGGTGATCTTCTTCCTTGCATTATGTTCTTGCAGACTTGCAATCTCAGCCTCAGACAAGATCTTGAACCTTCAGATCCCTCTGATCTTTGTTGCTAGATTTTTAAGATGAAAATTATGTTTACTTTGGTGCCTTTTGCATTAGGTATGCACACACACATCTAGTTAAACAAATATAATGACAATTTGTATTCATCATTATTAGAGTATCAATATATAAGGCCGTGATCAACTTCTAGAAAATATCATATATTGTTTAAAAAATAATTGTAAAACTATCTAATATCAATTAAAATTTCTAGCAAATGTCATATATTATTATAAGCATTTTTGCTCTTACTTTTAAAAAACATTCATGTAAAAGGACTTCTCTCCTAGACCATTAAAAGGAAAGAAATTCTCTATCAACAAAAGTTGGTCTAATCATGATTCAAATCATATCGTCCATCTTCGGGGGTCATGATGCTAGTCGTAGCCTCCATCTTATTTAGTGGGAACAAATCTCTAAGGATAAAAATGAAGGTGGCGTAGGCATAAAAAATGTAAGGAAGCAAAATGAAGCTTATGTTATAAAACTTTGTTTGAAGCTCCTCAGTAATAATGATGCTCTTTGAGTGAAAATCATTCAAAGCAAGTATAATGTGGCCCTAGCCCCACCCTAATTATTAGAAAGAAACAAAACTCTTCTCCATTGTGGTGGGAAATACATGAGATATGAGATAAATTCAAAGCAGGTGTTGGGAAAAAGATTAGGAATGGTAAAACATCTTTATGGTTTGACAACTAGTCAGAGATGAATACCCCTCTTATTGATTTGATTCCTAAGCTTGGAAGGTTTCATTGAGAAGGATGACATAGTTTCTGATTATGTGTGAAAAAGAATGGTGAATAGTATAACATCCTAGACTTCAATCATTATTTGATAGTGAATTAACTATATGCAGTCTGGAGGCATAGAAAGGGAATTTCAAGGAATAGAAAATGAATTTCGTGGGTGTAGAAAATTATTGGGCATTTATTGAGGATTAGAAGAGAACTTTAGAAAAATAAATAAGATAATTTAAAAATGAGATCTTACCCATAATAGAATAAATTGTAAAGATATAATTCCAAGCAAAATAATAATATATGAAAGAGAGTGGACGAAGGATTGAAATATGTATATTATTTATTATAATAAGATATATTAAATATGTAAAGAAAAAATAAATAAAGTATATAATAATAAAAATAAAATAAATATTATTTATAAGACTGTGTAGGGAAATGATTGATATATGTATGTCTGTTCAATACTAGTTATAATACTTCCTAAAGTACTTTTAAAAAAATTTTTTTATTTTAAAATATAAAATGCTTTGAATAGATTAAGACTTCATTAAATATATTAATTTTAATATTATTTTTTTTATAATTAATTTTTGTTTTTTTAATATATTAAATTATGAGTATTTTAAAAATTTATATTTTTATTTTAAAAGATAAAATTATTAAGTATACTTAATAAAATTTATCAATATATAAAATTTTATTTAAAATATTTTATAATTTAAGATGTAGAAAATATAAAATACTAATTATAGACAGTGTGTAGTTTAGACATACATAAAGAGATTGGGTTGTGCTCTGTGCCCACTCAATTTAATTTAATATATTAAAACTAAACCCTCGTACGCGCACAATCACAACTGTGTCCCAGCACCGCATTGAATGCGAAAAAGATAGGAGAGCGAACGTGAGGTGAGTGAGATTTTTTAAGCCTAGAGGTTATTTTTGACTTTTACTGGGCGAGTCTTCTAAATTTTTTTGTTCAACCTATATATCCCCTTAATTTTAGATTCTTGCAGATGAAAAATCTAAGGAGCGATTTACTTTGAAATTTTGGGTCTTTTGGTGATAGAAAATTACTTTAATAATATATCTAGGTCTATTTTGAGATTGTAGGATGTTTAATCTCTAAATATGAATTCTCTATCCAATTTGAGGATTCTTAAAGTAATGTTTAAGGCTTAAAATAAGGATTTGACATGAGTACAGGCTCAAAATTAATGTTTTGGAGTTATAAAAATTGAGAAACAATTTTATATAAATTGAGATGATCGGCGGAAATTTTAGGATAATATTTGGTCTAAATTAGCCCTACTATGAGATATATATTCATGTGATATGTAGGTAGCTATATTTGTTTACTTCATATACTTGCCTATATGGTTGAAATTTTATTTATGTATGAAATACTTATTTATTCGTAGAAAAAATATTTTTAAGATATATATATATATATATATATATATATATAGCTGAACATGATATCCTGCATTTGTTATATATTTCATAAACTGCTACTGTGTGGAACTATTGCTACTATGATATTTTTGAGAACCATGTATTTTTAGTATAAGGTTGTAATTGTTGAAAAAATGATACCATGATTTAGTTATAATTTTTGAAATTGATACCATGATTGTCACGCCCCAAAATGGAGGGTGACCGGCACGGGTGTGAACCATTCTCACCTTCCCGTAAGCCTCCAAATGAATATTTATTTCATTTTTCAAGAGAAGAATAAAATTCAATCAAATCATATAAAAATTAAAATAACTTCTTTAAATTCATTGTCATAAGAAAGTGTCAACGTTTTTGTAGAAATTTCGGCAGAACCTCCCCTGTAACTAGGATCTCCTGAAAATTCTACAATAAAAATTTTACAAATATCAGTATAAATCAGGAGCGTAGCTCCTTCCAGCCAACAACCAATATACAGACCAAAAATAAAATTTATCAACAATCTATGTGGAGCATCTGCTATTTCTTTCAAATCAAAAGACATACAATTTATGTATTTACATTAAAGCAACAATACCAATCAAAATGTCCACCCACTGTAGTTAGTTGCCCTTTTTGAGGTCGTTGATGAAATCGGCGTCAGCTAACCAATCTGAGACCAAATAATTTTTCCAGTGAATAGCATTCCCATGGAAAAATTCTTAAAATTTCAATCGACAATTTATAATAAGGGTGTCAGATGGTTGGAAGTAATTCTACCAAGATTTATAATGTACGTGAGGCATAATCATATTTATAAAATAAGAATAAGTTGAAAACATTTTATGTTATCATGTTTAAAGAAACAATCTGCTCTCATAAAACTCGAAGTGATACAATTTACTAAAAAAATTGGATAAACTTCGAAAACATATATTAATCAACATTTAAAATTCTGAGAACTCAACAGAACAGGTTACAAACGTGGACACATAGTCCACGAGGGTAAATAACCAAACGCGGCTTATGCCACGAAAACAAATATGGACACACCAGTCCACGAGGGTAAGTAACCAAACGCAGCCGAAGCTACGAAACAAACGTGGACACACAGCCCACGAGGGTAAGTAACCAAACGCGGCTTATGCCACGAAATCAAACGCGGGTACGAAGCCCACGAATACCAAACGTGAGAATAAAACTCACGAAACAAACTAGCTAGTATTTAACCACAGCGCGCTACGGACTAACGGAACTGCCGTTAGTAGCAGTGTTCTGTATAGAGTTCTCTTAGAAAGCCCGTTTCAAACATGCGAGAGAAATAATTACTTGTGAAGTCAAATTTTCATTCTCAAGATCAAACTCGCATGAGTTGCTTCAAATATATGAAACTTGTCAAATCGATACACCATAACGAATTTACAAACTTGCGTTAATCATGTAATCAAGAAATTTTGAAATTCAATAGGCAAAGGTGCCTTCATCAATATAAAAAAAATATATTTCTTGAGAAAATACACAAATCATAATATGACTATTCTTCATCATTATTTCAAAATTTCTAAAACTAACATAATTCATAAAAATGAAATATTTTAATAAAAGATTTTCAATAAATACTCATAAGGAATGCTATTCACTTACCTGTTGTGATTTCAAATCTCCAAAATATTATTTATTTAATTTCTATCGGGATCCTCTTCCTCCACGCGTCCTATAAAGATATTAGTAGCCAAAATTTAATAAATCATCTTTTAATTTACAAAGGCTTCCTTCCCAATTCCACCTTTTACCAATATCCAGTTATTTCCAATTGAGAATTGAATCCACACTATCATTATTTAAAATTCAAAAATTAAATCTATAATTTAAAGTTACTCCAAGTATTATTATTTACCCTTATGACTTTCTTCATAAAACTTTAGTCATGCCATTCTATTTCCTTGAGGTGAAAATTTTTCTTTTTATACTTTGCACCAATTTTTTTTTTTCAATTTTGTTCTTCTCTTTCAACTTCATCCTAATCAAATTCTCAATATCAACCAATCTAACAAAACTTAATTTAGATTAGAATCCAGACCCATATATATATATCGTTATGAAGCTTTGAAAATCACTTTCTAGCTCCCACAACAGCACGAGCAACAGTAGCAAAATACTCTCAAAAATTTTTGTAATTTCAGTATTAACTCACACTTCCTCTCACGCAAGTTCGTCAAGGAAGAAAGCTGAAGAATTCTCACCTGAAACAACAATAACAGCAAAGGTAACGAAGAAGACAGAACCTACAGCAGAACAGGGAGAGAAAATGGAATTCTCCAGCTGATGCAAGGAATAGAGGAAGACAAAACACTGCTCAAAAGAAAAGAAAAAGACCAGAATCAGCGTTAATTTTAGCTCATGACCAGCACTACCAATTCCGACGACCTGATTCCTTCCAACCATTAGCAATGCGTGGACATTTTACAAGAACAGAGCAACAGCCAGAATCGAGTAGAAGGAAGCATAACAAATTAAAAACATAGCTGAGAAACTTGACAGTAGCAACAAAAGAAAAAGAAAAAAAAATCCCATAATCTGTACCTCGCTCAACTGAGACCGAACAAGGAACCAAGATGAGTCACAGCTCTGTATAACGAACTGAAAGGAAGAAGAAGAAGAGAGAAGGTTCGCTGCACGACTCCAACGTGAGAAGAGCAAAAGACTTCCGGCGAACTCACAGCACTTGAGATGGATGAAAGACAAACGACAAGGAAGCTTGGAACGTTCGCACAGTTCATGGACAGCAAGATAAGGAATAACGAAGCGAAAACAGGGGAGAACAACCAGTCACTGAACGTCTCCCATGGTGGATTTTTTCGCTCCCAAGGTCACCGTCGAGTAGTTTAACGACAGGGATGATGATAATGGGTGAAGGGCTGAACGAAAAGGGTTCGAAGTTTCTGGTGAAGTCTACAGCTCTCTTGACTCACGCACAAATCTGCTGGAGAAAGGAAAAGAGAAGGAATTATATCACAATGGGATAAGGACAATCTGGTAATTTCACATAGCAAAAAGAAGGAAAAATTTAATTCTTCATTTGGTCTCTTTTCGGATTCGAACTAGAGACTTGACATATGAAATCCTCCTCAGCTGCCACTGGATCAAGTCTCTAACTTGTTATATTTATTCCAAAAACTAATATAAACACACTTAAAGCAAGTTAACCTATATATGTATATATATATTTATTTTTAATTTATTTAGGGTTATTACAATGATTTTGCCAGTATATGTAGGAGGTTGCATTGGTGGGAGGTTATCTATGTCCATGATTATTGATCATTTGATTTGCCTCCACCTTACGCATAGTGGTTGGCCATTTTTAGAGCCCTTAGTATCTCATATGAGAGAGAGATCATGTTAACCTCTAAAATTTCATATCATTTGAGCATATTTTTCTTAAATTTTTAATATTTTGACATAATTGTATATATTTTGAATACTTAAATTAGAAAAATGTATATATTGTTTTGGAAATTCAAACTATAGCTCTATTTTGATATTTCAAAGCTAATTTATGATATTTTGATTTAAGGGTTTGGTTAGATATATTTCTGGACTCTTAATGATATTTTTGAAAGGTTTTTAGATAAAGAAACCAAATGCAAAGGGCATAGTGCAAAATAGCAAAGTCAACCTAAAGTCACGATTTTGTTTCACGACTCTCAACGCGACAACAAATGAAGCATTTTATTTAGCTAATAAAGTTAAAATTTTGAAGTATATATGACCCATTCTCAACTTTGGCTAGTATTATAGACTTCCTGGAAGCATTTGTTAGCTTTGGGTGTGTTAGGGTATGAATTTTGTTGGACATTGAGCTTGGATTTGAAGATTGGAAGAGATTTTAGCTTCATATCTTGGTTTTTTTTTCCATTCTCCTTCTTTCCTTTTGTTCAATGTTTGTGCTGAAATATTGTATTTTTTCATGGTTTTTATGAACATTTGTGGCTAAAACCCTTAATTATAGAATTGTGTTGAACCCTTTGTATGGATTAAATACTTATTTCTCCTTTGTGTTTGTGATTAATGATATGATTATGTTGATTTTACTCTTTTTTTAATGCTTCTAAATGTTTGGCCACCATTTAAATGTTAAATTCACTTGGATGATGCTTGAGAGAGCTAGTTTGAATGTAGAACTTGAGTAAAATTATATGAAACTTAAAGTTTGCAGGTTAAATGAATGGTTTTGTTGATGGGATAAAGATACACTCATTAACCTCACATAGTCACATAAGACTTGCAAAGTCAATTAGAGTTTAATTAGTTAATTAAGAGATTAATTAAATTAAACACCTATTTGGAGACTTGAGATAGCATTTGTAGGTAATTTAATATCCTTGACTAGCATAATTCATTATTAAGAGCAAAATATATTGGGGATTAATTGAGTACTCTTGAAGTATAAAGGGGAATAAATAATCTTAATATATAATCCTAAGCCTAATTATTTTCAAAAGTCTTAAATCAATTTTTTTGTTTTCATACTTTTTCACACATTTAATTTATATTTTAAACCCAATCATTAGTTTGAAATTTTCTCAACTTAATTGAATTCACATATTTTTTATTTGACCATATTTTTAATACAAATCTTCGTAAGAATGATACTTTACTTATTTTATATTACTTGCTACAACCCCTCTATGCGATGTAGCGGAGCAAAGGGGAAGCAACCAAATGCTTGAGACTTTTCTTAGCAAAGCCTTAAGTCCATTTAATTAGTTTGAGAAATAATAATATTGCCAGTGTAGGATTCATCATTTGCTATTAGGAGTTAAATTATTTGTTTGTTTATTTGCTTATTTGATTTTTTTCGATGAAAATGTTATTAGTTGACATATTTAGTCAAAATTAAATACTTAAGCAATTAATTTGAGTTAGGACATGTGTCTAGGCCTCTAGGGGCTTGACTATACTAATATCTTGTGAATTAGAATCTTATTATTTTATAAATTTATTTCTATCTATCATGATAAACTCCTTCTTATCATGGTAGGAGCTGTGTTCTTGACCTTTAAAATTATATATCCAAAACCTCAATTCTAGTTTAATATTTTTCTACACAGGTTAATTTTTAAGTATATGTTTTATTAATTGAGACTTCTTATAACCATAGTAGTTTTTAAAAATTACATTTGATCCTTTTCTACCATGGTTACCTCTTAAAGGAATTTTAAAAAGTTAGTTTTAAATTTGTATACTATGGTAATTGATTTTGTGAGTTTAATTTTTATTAGCATGGTATTTTTCTAAGATTTTTGTGTTGAAAGTTTAGATATTACAAGTGGGATAGGGAGGAACTTTTGTGGCTGGCTTGACGTTCATGTTGTTGATTGTACGACTCAAGCACACCCACCCTATGAGGAGAGAGAAGGCAAACATTTTTGGAAACCATCCTCTAATAGTTCCTTCATTGCTAGATCTGCCTATAATTTTCTTCTTGTAGATACGCACCAACAAGCTTATATGCGATGGCCTTTTTTAGGGGAAGATCAAGTATTTCATGTGGTTCTTTACGCATGGAAGAGTGCATGGAGCTTCGAACAAGGAGAGGTATTCAAAGTAACGATAGCTACCCAACGAGATGCAATACTAAGGAGGACTCTATGCATCTGTTACGTGACTATACTAATGCCTTAAACAGGTGGAAGTTTGTGATCAAAGATGACAAACTTGAGACTTTCTGCTCCTTACAAGGTGTGGAATGGGTCAAGTGGATTCTGAAGATGGAAGGGGGGAGGATTTCACTAAGAAAATTTGTCGGCAAACCCTATTTGGCTTCATCTGTTGGATATTTTGGTTAATAGATGTAATCTTGTTTTTGGCTACGGGGAACAAGGAATCTCTCATGATGGATTGTTTAGTTTATTTAGAGCTTATATGTACAAGGAGCTAATGAATAACTGCCCCTATTCAAAACCAATGACTAGGTGTAGGAACAGGTAAGCAGAGGCCATGATGATTTCTTCAAATTAAACTGCCTGTTAATTGTTCAGTTAAAAGTGAAGCAGCAGATGTGAAGGCACTATTCGCAATGGGAACAATAATTAGATTTGCGGTTTTAGCTCCAAATTAATTGATGTCCCTCCAGGTGTGGCCAAGTACTAGGATTATATTTTACCAAAAAAAAAAAATATTAGGATTATACAGGGCCTAAGTATGTGCCGGTAGGGGGGTCTCTCCAAATTTTAGATCTTTTCTGACTAATCTTAAGCACTTACCTTCATCATTAAAGAATATTGTGATGTTAACTACCTTTGAGGGACATTGTTGATCAAGCTCAATGTTCCCTTCTCAGGGATAGTCAATTTTATTTTCTTCATGTTACCCAGGAATGTAATAGTGAATCTAACTTTCTAACTAGGTATTCCCATACTATGATGGGAAATTTTTACCTCTTTAATTATCATCCTTCTACTGAATTAGGTGAGGAAGATGATGAAAGAGGATAGCTTAGTTTTTGATCTGGACTTTTAGTTGGGACTAAAAAGCATGCCGTCCGTGAACATGTGATAAGCGCTTTTTGAACCGTGCCCTGCCTCGTGAGTTCTCCGTGTCTAGCTCTTAAAAATTTTATTTATACAAAACCAAATATTTAAAAAAAAAAAAAAAAAAAAAACCAACAGACAAAGAAAACAAAACAAAAGGAATTCTCTGAGGACTACTTGCGGATAATAGAGAAGGAGATTCTGCCGAGACCTCGCCATCTCGGGTTCCTCAAGCCTCTGCTATGTGGGAATAGAACTAACTGAAAGCCTGAAACCAGTGAGTGAACTCTAGTCTGGAGGAATCGTAATCGGAGGAAATATCCGATGGCTTACGAGATTTCTGCCTTCGTCTTCAACAGCACCACCCCTACTCTCATCTCCTTCCATGAGAATTACTCCGCTAGCTGTCTTGTAATTTCTTCATCCTTCTCTGATTCCACCTTCTTACCTTCCAAGTTCTACCCTTGCTTCAAAGCACCGCAGAATTTCAAGCCCCTCACTCTCCTACATGGCGAGCGACTCTGTGAGTATTCCTTGTTCTTTTTTACCCTGTTCTGGTTTTCGTCGCAAGGTTTTAAATCTTTATTTTTAACATGCTGTAGTTTCCATGTGCTCAAGATAAGATTGGGAAATGGACATGTCTATGTTTTTGTATGAGTCATATGGGCGTCAATAGATTTGGGTGCTGATCTTAAAGAGAGGACCGGAGAATAAGTTTTCAAGAAGTCTTCATTTCGATTGAGACTGGATCATTGTTCATGTTTTGTTTTGATAAATTAGTGGGAAATGAAAAAGAAAATAAGCGTGTTACTTCTGCTTTGATTATCTCGTTGTGCCAGCCAACAGTGAATGGTTGTTGCATTTTTTTTTTTTCCCTGATGATGTACTTGATGATTTTCTAATTTTTTTCTCTAAACGTAATGTTCGTGCGTCACTAAAATGGGAGAGTTTTTAGGTCCACTAGCTAGCAGTTTATCTTCTGCTCAAGTGGAAGAGCAAAAGGAGGTTGAAATTGTGGAGGGTACACTATGACCGAAATTTGCGACAGAATGATAGATGTGTTCATGACTGAGAAGACAAAATCAAAGGAATGGAGGAAGTATTTGGTATTCAGAGAAGAGTGGAATAAATATAAGGATAGCTTCTACAGAAGGTGCCAGAAGAGGCAGACATGGAGAATGACCCAGTTAAGAAGCAAAAATTCATTTCACTGTGGAAAAAGATGAAGAAGGTAAATCAATGCTATCAATTTACCTGTGTTTACGCCCCTTGCAATTTTGGATGCTTGGAAAATTAGTCTTTTGGCCTTGATGGGAAATTAGGAAAAGCTGAGAATTCTCTTTCGTTCAAATTTAGTTTGAAAATGACAAGTCAAACATTTGATTTGGACTAAATAAATGGGAGCTGATAATTTGTTCAGCAATTACCTCACGAACTGATAATTTCATATTCTTTTTTTCTTTTTCTTTTTCTTTTTTTAACTTACCTTCTTTTCTAGTGGTAAGTATTTGTAGAAACTAGGAACCAAATAGCTATCTCATATCTAGAGTCTAGACACTTACTTGATTTTAGAGCTTCTTCCTCGGTTCTGCTTGATCAGGTATAAGAATTGCAGATTGATGATGAAATGGAAGGACACGGTGACCTGCTCAAGGAGGTGCAAGATAGCCCTACTGATATAAATGCCATAGTTGCAAGGAGGCGTAAAGATTTTACAGGGGAATTCTTCCGTTACCTTTCTCTCCTTTCAGACACATATGATAGCTTGGAAGACCAAGATGGTGAGAATGTGGATAAAGGAATTAATTTGACTCTGGACTGATATTATGAATAAACATTGATTGTAAATTAAATCTAGTAAACACTAGAAAGCAAGAGATGTGTGATGGTTAAGAATCCTTGTAGTTGTAATCCAAGTTCCCAACTCATAATCTAAGATGGGTGGGATATTTAAACTATATGTTTAGTTGAAACTATAAAAATGAACTTTCTTCATTATGATGCATCCAAAAGAAAACTGAGAATTATTTCTTGATCTTCCTGCTTCAATTGATTGGCCCATTTGTTGTGCAGCAATTGCCAGGCTTGGGACTAGATGCTTGTCAGCTGTCAGTGCATATGATAACACTCTAGAGATTGTGGAGACATTGGATCCTGCACAGGCGAAATTTGATGATATTCTCAACTCACCATCAATTGATGTGGCATGTGAGAAGATCAAAAGCCTTGCAAAGGCAAAGGAACTTGATTCGTCATTAATCCTCTTGATAAATAGTGCTTGGGCTAAAGCAAAAGAGTCTTCAACACTGAAAAATGAGGTACAATTATAGAACATGATATTCCAGGGATTTGTCATGACTTTGTGTTCCTGCTGCCATTTTCACTGAATGGATAAACTTTTGTGTTTGAATCTCAGTAGGATGGGAAGCTTTCAAGTTCCTTTTTAATATAATGGTGAATTATCAGTATAGGAGCAGAAGAAAAGTAGATATTTATGCTGTTCTTGTCTTGAGATCTGAAAAATAAATAAATTATTTAAGTTGATAATTCTGAGTGTTGATGTTTCTTTTGATCTGTACAAGCTGAAGAACCAAATTTTTATTCTTTTCAGCATATATAGAGCACATGGAAGCTTAATTTTGCTTGCTCAAGCCGAGAAGAAATATGTTTATACGGCATTCTGTGTGCTCAAACAACATTTTTCGATTCTCTGCAGGTAAAAGATATAATGTATCAATTGTACAAGACCACAAAGAGCAGTCTAAGGAGCATGGCTCCTAAAGAAATCAAGCTACTCAAGCATTTGTTGAATATTGTAGATCCTGAGGAGAGATTCTCTGCATTAGCAACGGCTTTCTCTCCTGGTGGTAAACATGAAACCAAGGACCCTGATGCATTATACACGTAAGAGGACACCCTTCTGCTTCATTTTTAAATAGTGATTTTTGTGATCATTCTTATTTGCTTCTCCAACTCTCTCCTTGATTGAGCAGTACCCCGAAGGAGCTGCATAAGTGGGTTAAGATCATGCTTGATGCATATCATTTGAATAAAGAAGAAACAGAGTTCAGGGAAGCCAAGCAGATAACTGAACCTGTGGTTATCCAGAGGCTGTTCATCCTCAAGGAAACCATTGAAGAGGAATATCTGGAAAAAAATACATTTCAAAAGTCTGATGCAGAAAAAGACTCTAAGTCAGAAGAAGAGTTATAAGTTCTTTCCTTAAAAAATATAAGTTTCCCTTCCTTCCCCGCTCGCTCTATTGTTTCATACCTTGAAAGGAAAAGGGAACAAGGAAAGAAGGGTCAAAGAAGGAAATGATCAAGCGTACCAAAGTTTTTTCAAGTGGCTACTTGCAGCTGGGGCCCCAACTTATCTGCTTTCAAAGATTTTTGTACGGGTGTAATCTAGTTTTTTTTTAATTTTTATGATAAAAAATTTAGATAAGTTGATTCTCAAGCCTTGCCAAAGTTAAGGCATACCTTGATTTAATATATTTGTGTCTCCTATTAGGAGGACTCGAATCATGTTTACTTCTTTGCATGGAAAACTAGTGGGGTTGTACTCATGAGAAAGCTGAAGGTGTAAATTAAAAACCCCCCATCAAAACAATTTGGCCTTGCTTTGATGAGGAGCATTTTTTCCCTCCCTTTTCTCTGGATGAGGATTTGGCCTGTAGGGAACTTGGAACAATATCTATATTTAGTGAGTTAGCGGATAAAATATTCCTATTTTTCCCCATTGAAGCACTCTTGTTGGTCATTTAAATTCATTTCCTTGATCTCTTGGAAAGGAAATTAGCCCTCACGGCAAATAGAAAAGGGAAATAAGTCCTCAGCTTCTCTGGGATGCATGAATGATTTTGTTCTTTTCTTCTTATTCTTTGGAACAGTGCATGAATCAAATTTTTTCTCGCAAGTTTGGCGAGACATCCCAAGAAATATAGCATGAACCAGGTCCTTAATGGGATGTTTTCCACATGAACTGAGAGGTTGAAGTTGGCGAGACATTTAATGCCTCAATTTAATACAGAGCCAGCCCTCGATGGTCCTAAGTTCGAGTCGTAGTTTTCCTTAAATATGCCACCCAACGTAGGCCAACCCATTGCAGGGGAATATAGCGTTCGAATGCATTTTTTATATAAAATTTTATACTTAACGTGCTTATTTTTAACAGAAACGTCTATCTTTTATCTATTATTTATTTTATAATAAATTTTTGTTGTTAATATTATTAACATTTTAAAATTCAATTATTTTGATTTGAGCACTGAATTCTTATCTTTAGTCAAAGTCACAAACATCAGTTCCTTATGATTTGTGAAACAGAAGTCCAATTTGCTCTCACTTTTTCATAGTCTTCGCGTTGGCCTTTTTAATTAGGATTAGAGTTTCCTCGGAGTATTACCATTTCTCTTCATAATCTTTTCAAGTTCAAAGTTCAAAACCATTAAACGTCAGGAACAAGAGAAAATAAAAAATGGCTGATCTTCGAAATTTCAGCCAATAAAATTGTCTCAACCAAAAAATAGATAAAATCTATTAATCAGATGTGCCAATGAGATGTGAAAATAGATAGTTAGTTCGTAGTCTTCTTCAAAGTTCTTGCAAAATAAACCCATCAATCACCATATGAAGATGGCAGGGAATCCACTTGCCACGAAAAGACGGTGGAAAATTGACAACCTGACCCACACCCATTGGAGTTAGCTCGATCCTTCATTCATTCCAATTATTACCATCATTGCCACCATATGTCCCGTTTAATCATATCATGTGAAGTAGAATACAAGATAATCGATTGAGATCTTAACACGCATCAAATTTTAAAATTACAACCCAGAAAAAAAAATTACTGAGAATATTTGTTGAGTCATTTGGATAAATAATTACAACTACAACACTCCTCCGAATCTGACTTCCCATGTCAAACAACTGCCGAGAGAGGTAGAAACGGAGTTATTCAAAGCATAACAGAGACTGAATCTTGATATATTATAGAAAATCCAGGAGCAATAATTACACTATATATAGTTATGAGGATGATGTGATGAGAGGAATAATCCCTTATTATTGATTACAGAGAACAGACACTACTGCATCTGCATGATGATGATCAGCTGATGAAGATGATGGAGGGGTCGCAGCAGCACTCGTCGATGAGGCAGCAGCAACACAAGGCAGCAAGGCTGGCACAGAGGAACACAAATCATGATCATCCCACAATATTCTGTAATGTAAATTGATCCTATAAGAAAATAAAATAACAATATTGGTATAATTAATAAGAAGGTTTATTGGTTAATTACCACTCCTTCAAGGAAACCAGCCTGTCTTCTGGGTGGTGGTGGAGCAGCAGCATATTGTGGAGGCGCCATCACTGGAGGACCTTGATAATAACCTAAACAAGCACCAATATTTTTTCATATTACAGAAACAGACCACAAAGCAAGCTAGAAAGGAAAGAAGAAATTAAACGAGTGAGTCTTCTATGAACAGATAAGAAGCTACCTTGATGAGGGGGAGGATAGGGATAACCGTACTTGGGGTCACTCATTTCTCTGAGAAAAACACGACCAACACAATCTTTAGCACTGAAACCAGAGGTATCTCTTCGATCTGTGATCGAAACGGAGTTTGGGTTTTGGCTGACACAGTTAAAAAAGTTGCGAATCGTGCGTCCCCTAGTTTCGACCTCTATTTATAAAACTTGCGTGTGAAGCTTCTCTTCATTCCCGCACGCTCTCTCATCTCTCGCTTTTATTGAATTGGAGCACTCCCACTTTGGATCTCGATGATAGAAGAATTTTTAATAAAATTAAAATCAAAATTAAAACCAGAATCGAATAAATTTTAAAGTGTGTTTGGTATGAAAATTGAATCATGATATAATTTTATAAATATATATATTTAAAATATAAAAAATTAAAATACCCTTTATTTTATTTTTTTAATGACACATAAGCCAATTCTATGTTGAGTTGGTAGATTCATGATCTCTACAATGAAATTGGATTCCATCAATTTTGATGGAATCAGATTATTGCAAGAAAGCAATTCTGATATACCAAACAAGCCAATTAAAAAATTTTATGTCCAATTCTATTTTTCTTTTTACAATTTTGATGTACTAAATATGGCCATTCTTCGTCCACCCTCACGGCGCCACTTAACGTTGAGAGTTGAAGTCAACAGAGGCCATCTTTTGCCTGCAGAAAAAATAATATTTAAGTCTTTAGAGATCAAATCAACGAAATTAAATTCTTCAAAGTATTTCAAAAATAATTTATGCTTATAAATAACAATCTCAATTGAATGTTATATTTAGAATTTAAATATTTTATTCGCAGCTGAAATCTTAAATTTATAATTATTTGTATTAATATTTGCGATCTTAAAAAAAAATATCAAAAACTTAGCTGTTAAGTAAATCTTCTGCGACCTAATTCCTTCGGTTTTATGTAGAATTGACTTTCAGCATGTTTTTAAATCAAGAAATACTCTAAATTTTATTAATTTATTTAAAAATTTAACTTTATTCTTATTAATATTTATATTTTAATAATTTTCACAATATCAGAAAAGTATAAAAATAAACACAAAAAACTATAAATATATACTATAAATTGGATCACAATAAACATTCTCTGTCATATTAATAAAAACAGTTTTTTCACAAACAAGACAGGCGGGAGATTACGGGACCACGTGGGGACAGGACCAATTGACAGGTGTGCAGTGAGGCAGGCAGTAACTGGAAAGAAGGGATCCCGGGGAGGGGTATTATTTTTTTTCCTTCCATTTTCCATCATTTTCTCAATCTCTATCATTTAAATTATTTTATTAAATAATTTTTTAAAATGATAAATTTAATAAATAGTGAAGATAAAGAAAATAAAAAAAAATGGAGGAAAAAAAAATGAAGAGATCCAAAGGAGAAGACTGGAAGAGGCTGTTGAAGACAAGTCATAGAAAAGTGGGCCACGTGACAGCTCAGCGTGACCCAAGTCGAACTCGCGCGTCGCTTTATGATCTCTTGAATATGGTCTAGTTTGATTCTTTTTCGCCCTACGTTGCTCCTAAATGCTTATCTTCTTGACTTTAATGCCGCCACATGATGTGGTTGAGTTTGTTTCTCCAGAAAATTCCTCCAGAATCTAACCCGGGAAAAAAAAAAAGGTAATATCTCCGCTGCCGCAGTTTGAACGCTTTTTCTTCAACATTAATTAATCAAAATCCATCTCAAAAGCAATTCAAAAACAGGAATCCCCAGAAGTGGGTTTAGAAGGGGAGGCTTTATTTGGTTGGTTTTCTACTTGCGTAGCCTTTGTTGACATAAATAAATACATTTGCTTTCTGAATCAATTTCTTCTATTTCATTTCATCTTTACATCGTAATTCTATTTCTTGCTCTACTTCCATATCCAAACTCTTGAATGAATTATTATTCGGGTTATATATAGCAGGATCACCCAACTTATTAAACACTTAAAATATATATTATGTGAGTGAATGAGACATCAAGAAGACGAGGAATAGAGATCAGAAAATTACAGGCAGCCCAATGAAATTAGGCCCTTGTGTTTGTCCAAAATCACCCTTCACTGCAAAAATGTTCATATTATAATGGAAGGAATGAGTTCTTCACAAAATAACTAATCAATGCTTAAAATTTTGTTAAAACAATATGCTCATATTTTGTATTTAACTATTTACTATAAAAAAATCAAATCTATTATAGTAATATTCATAAAGACTTCTTTTTGCACCAACATTATTTATGAAGACTTGACACTCATTAAATAAAGTCTTCAATTCAACTTTTGTACACACTAGGAAAATTCTTTTATACTGATATTTCAGGTGCTCACTGCTCATTTCATCTTATAAATATAAGCTGTCCGAGTTAAAATTATACATTTCAAATTCAATTTTTTTACATTTTTATGTTCTTTTAATTCAATAAGTAAATAATATTTTAAATTTCACAATTTAAAAAATAAATTTACTTAAACTTGGAACATCCAAATTAAATTTAAGCAGTTTAGATTATTATTACAGCAATAATCATGTAGATTTGAATCCTTATACTTCTGGATACTTGATGATTTGTAAAAACAAAAATAAAACAAAAAAAAAATGTCATGGGTTACTTAAGTCTAATGGTGTATTCGTGAGGACTAACCTAAACCAATAATTCAATATGATCCAGTTTCCTGTCCAAATTCTTTTCATAATAATATTCTGAATTCCTGATTTGAAGAATCTAGAGAATTTGGAATTTATATTTAACACCTCCAGTCCTGAGAATTCGGCTTCTATTGAAGAATTGAATGTCTTCATTACTAAGCAGACTTTTAAAAATTCGGATAATTGGTTCAACGACAAGATTGATATATCCTTTAAAATTTATAAAAGTAAATCAGCATAAAAATCAAACAAAATTCAATAAAATTTAGTTGAGAATAATGATATTGAAATTAATTACTTACTTATTTATTTATTACAGAAGGTACTTTAAGATAAAATATCTAATGTTAACAGACCGCGCTCAAGATATTTCACAAATTTGTTAATATGTCGTGATTAATTTTTAGAATGATCACATAATTATGAAGATCATCATTCATCACAAGACAGGGGTCCACGCATGTGCTTTTACGGCATTCTAGAATGTCCTCAAAGGGACAAAGTTGCATAATACGTGCAAAATAATGAAGAACATGCACAATTATTTAAGAAAAAATTACATTCAAGTTTCATGAAAAAAAATATTATCAAAAAATTTTATAAATTTTATAAAATATTTTTAAATTTTAAATCTCACTCGTTAGTAATTTAATTAAAAATATTAATAACTGAACAATGATCATTATAACTTGTTATTATAAATTATTATTTTTCTTTACAAGTTATAAATAGTCATTGCTTAATTGTCAATACCCTTAGTTAAATAGTTAATACGCAAGATTTGAAATTTGAGAATATTTTATAAAATGTATGAGACCTCTTAATAATAAACTTTTTTTTGTGAAATTTAAATGTAATTTTTACACTATTTAAAAAACTGTCAACATAATGGGTGGTGTAAGTGTAATAATTACTAGTATTGTTTATTAGCTCCACTAATCAATTTGGATTAGTTTCTTTAATGATAAATTATAAATTTTTTGCCCAATCATTCTTTCTTCTCCAACCCACTCTGTCTGTATGTGACAAAAAATACTTTAACCAATCTTGTTGCTGACTGAAAGTTCAACCACTCCAATACAATTTCCCCTTTTTATTCCTTTAAAAAAAGACATGATTATGGGCATTTGCCATTCGTAGCTTCTACAACATGCTAGATTATGTAGGACTTGATTCCATCCCATGATGTCATCAAGATAATTTTTGTAAAATAGGACTGGTTTGATTTTTATTTTTTAAAAAAGGAAAACATTTAGATAAGTATCCCGGGGCATGCTTAATTTCTGTTTTTAAATTTTTTCCTCCACTCAAAAAAAAATCTGTCTTTTAAAAAAAGAAAAGTGGTTGGGCAAGTGTTCTAATTTAAATGTTTTCAAAATAATTTAAATTAAAAAAAACAAAAATTGAAAAATTGAAAACTATTTTTATTTTTTTACTTTCAAAAACATAATATATTTGATGCCATAAAAACACATTACATTTGATTATTAACCAAATACTATTATAAGTTTTCATCATAAAGCCATCAACGACTACTATTATTGGTCAATTTTTAACTCTAAAACTATGTTTAAACTAATATAATCAAATTGATTTTTTTTTAATTTTGTTATGAAAAATAATTCTAAAACCTATTTATAAAAAAATTAAATAATAAATGAAAGATAACCAGACATGTTTTTTTTCAAGACTATCCTCATTTTCTTTGTTTTTTAAAAAAAAAAAATATCTTAGAACTTTTTTTGTTTTATTTTTTTAAATACACCATATTTGATTATAAAAAACTACTATCAACTATGATCAATTACTATTATAAGTGACAATTATTAATCACGGGCGACCACCACAGATATTAGCCAATTTTTTATCTTTAAATTATTTTTAACTTAACATAATTAAATAATTTTGTTTATTTTGTTTTGAAAACTAATTTTAAAAGTTATATCATAAAAAACATTTAAAAATAGGAATACAATCAAACAGGCTTACGATGAAGGAAATTGAGCTCAAGAAAGAAAAGTTCACAAGGGATTACAGGTTGAAGTTAAATCAAATATACCTTATTTGAGGCCCATTTAACTTTGGTTCACTGTGGCCCGAAAAGGTTTAAATACAAACTTTAGTTCACTGACAACTAGAGGTCGTAATTTGAATCTCGATTGGTTAATTCTAATAAATTTAAAAAATTTTAAATTAGGGTTGAGAGTTTGAAAAACTTTTCTTACCTTAAACTTATTTGAGCCGCTTGAATAAATCTGAAAAAATTTAGGCCAATTGAGCACGAATACTCAAATTCATTTGTATTATTAATAAAATAATATAAAATTTAAAATATTATTTTTAAAAAATAAAAATTAAATTAGATAAAGAATAAAAATAAAAATAAAATAATATTTAATAATTTTTATATTCAGAATAGTCCAAAAGCTTTAGAGGTTAAGGTCAAACTTGACTATATAAACTTTTTTATATATTATAATATTTTAACTCGATTCAAATAAATTAACTTGAATTGAGCTTAACTCACTTAAATTTAGTGCTCTAAAATCAACTTCATGGACTTAGAT